TCAGGTTCAATCAATTTAATACTTACTGTGACCACCATTTTACGCTATCGATGTGTAATAGTTCTTATTTTTAATTTAGTCCATTTCATGAGTGGCAGTTACCCGTAAATCTTTTGGATATACATTTAGAAGCAGTTCACCAATTATTCGACAAAGTTTCATATAGAAGTCCAATTTATTTTATGAAATCGTTTAAAGTGAACTGAGACCATTTTTGATCTATGCAATTAGTTAATTTCGCTGGACGAACATATAGTCTTTTAATAAATTAATGTTCACTATCTTGCTTAGATGATATATATTCTTGTGTTTACCGTTTTCAAGGTGTTTTCTCAGGGCAGTATGTCTAAATTCATGAACCTTGTCATTTTTAACTGATAGTTACTAATTATCTTACAAACTAGTTGGCTCATGTTATAGCATAAGTAAAATCATCTTAGTGGGAGTAAGAGGGCAATTGTTTTTACAGGTCTTCTAATGATGCATCAAATTCCCATTATTATACTTAACAATAACTGTTTACTGAGGCTATTGATTAACCATAAACCTAAGCTGCTGCTATTTTACTCATCACTAAAATATGTGTGGTTGACATTAGTATGTGAAAATGATAAATCATACATAGTCCCTGTAATAAAATTCGATCTAGTATTTGAGTTTCCAGTTTTCCTGTGTCGGTTCTAGTGATCAATATATCCAAGAATGCTAGTTGGTTGTTTGACTCCTGTTCCATTGTGAACTTGATGTCGATCTAGTATTATTAGTTATAAATCTTCCAATTTATTGCTGAAGTTTTTCTAATCTCTCGTGTTGTTCTCTGTTTTGTGATCTGTTAGTTTAATTATTACAGCATCATAATTTAATTTATTTTATCACGAAGTTAAACTTGATCATCACTGTTGTCCTTGTTCATTTATAAATTTTCTCAGCAGCATATAACCGCTTAGTCTTTAGGCTTTTAACTCAGTCAAATTCTGGACCATCCATTCAATTTGATAAAGATAAAATTTATTGATTTCAGAACGTTTTGTTAAGAAGCTTTCTTGAAGTAAGGCTCGTGATAATTATACATATCTACATAAATTTATTTTCATAACTTTTACAGTGATTTTAGGACTAGCCACTGTGAAATTCACGCCGTATTGACATTCTATAACTTCGCAGAATACATTGTATATCTGAGCTACATCATCTCACTGATACGTTCAGCTAGGTAAATGAAATTTGTCGAGTTAATATCATATGTTAAGATAGTATGGTAAGTCAAATGCAAATACGGACGAATGACACTGAGCAGTTGGGTTGTTTTTTTTATCTAATATAAGATTATAACTCACATATTGATGCATTAGATTATCTTGGTTATGTATAAACACCCATTAACTGTAAGTAATATTACTACAAAATATAAAATATTATACTGTGTTTCTTTATCCTCCACTTAATAAGATTAATCTAGTATTAATAGCGTCAGCCTGTATCTCATTTTGGTCGCAAATCACACCACATACTATTATAGTTGTTTCTTTGTTTATTGTACAATTTCGATTGATTTAAGTTGGAAAGACCAAGTTTTTAACTTAAAAAAGAGAGGGGTCTTGTGAATAGTATAGTAACTTAGTGGATGAATTGATGAGTCAATTGAAGCTAGACCACCATGGAAAACCTGGAAGCACTGGACGGCCGCTTCGTCCTAGTATGAGACTCCCCAGCAGTACCCACCCACAATCCCGCCTCGCGAGATTCGAACCGGGGACCGTGACCAGTGGAGTTCAACTGGGTCTGTTGTGAGATAGTAACGCACTGATGACAATGGTAAATGGTGGCACAACTTCGTGGATTGGATGGAGTTGTACATTAACACCGTTGGATGCCGGCTCAGTGGTCTAGTACGTAAGCGCTCGCGCGCGAGACCGATAGGTCCTGAGTTTGAATCTCGCGAGGTGAGGTCGTGGACGCGGACTTCTGAGGAGTCTCATACTAGGACGAAACGGGAATCCAGTGCTTCCAGGTTTTCCATTGGTGGTCTAGCTTCAGTTGACTCATGAATTCATCTACTAAATTTAAAAACAGATTATTCAGAACACGTAGCTGTTTCTGATAGTGGCGCGTTGATCATTTAAACTATTTGAATACAGGTTCATATATTTATTTACCTCTGGTAGCTATCATGATGTGCTCTTTTTAAAGCACTATGTTTTGCGAAATTATCAAAGAAGACATGCTAACCAATTAACAAGTGCGAACTTGAAAGTTCAATTCTTCCTAGTTTCAAATAACATTATTAATGATTACTTCCTTAAATCCACCATCTTTGATTACGGTAGATAATTCTTAGCACTTATATGCATTACTGTGATAAATCCCTGTTTAATATCCATTTGCCTTGTTGACATTGATTAATTACAGTCCATTTTAAAGTTGTTTTTTAAAAATTTACATTACTTAACGATAGATCACACTAGTTTTTCAGGTAAAGTCACCTGTTTTTCTTTGCTATTTAACTGAATGGAACGTTACATCTGTTCAGTCACCAATATCATACCTAAAAAGAACCATATTTAACCTTCATCATTTACCATATATCATTAATTCTCAGTCTTAACGTTTCAGTTTAACGAAGAAACAGCCGTGACAACCAATACGTAAAATGATATTGGTTTTTGTTAATATGACATGATAAAAAGTCTTCAATTTTAAAATACTTTTGGATAAAAATGTTCTTAACCAACCACTATTTACCGAAATAGTCGGTTGTGTTATTCAATCTTTAATGTATCCCTTTTTATTTACAAAACATCTGATTAAACTAAAATTGATTGATCAAATAGTTTATTGATTTTAATAACTAAGATTAGTTTACTTCCTCTTGAAGTTGGACATACTTGAATACTTCAACATTTTGAATAAGTTTATTATTCCTAATTATACTGTAGTGTCGGTTATTATGTTAAGCCCATATAACTTATTCTAGCTTCTGGGTAGGCCAATTTATCCATTATTGAGTCACATTTCAACCTTGTTAGTTATTCACCTATCAGCCCTGACTGTTTCTATATGAGTGTACGTCTTATCCTACCCATCACATATCTGTAGCTTATTTTTGTGTGACTATAAATATTGATTAGTGCTTGGTTAAATGGAGTTGGCTCACACGCCTTCTTCAGCAAAGAATTAAATTTATTATTATGTGTTAAAGATCTTGGAGTTACCTGTAGACGGAAAATTCCATGAATTATTAACCAAAATTAGAATGCATAACAAAATATTGACTCTACATTCTTCTCCTCTTACGGGGAATGGTGAGAACTTCCCCACTGAACCATGATGCAGAGTTTCTCGGACCCCTTGGTGTAGTCCAAGGGATGTGGTACAAATTTCGAAATACAACCATGCTTTTTCGATTGGGGACTCTGGCTCTATTGTCCAATCTACTGACGATGCTGAGTGTATAATATCTTCTATATTCACTTTCCGAACGTTATGTCAGGGTTGAGCTGACGCGTTTGTTTTCGATAACTATATGGATGTCAAAGATTAGAACTGTATGATCGCTTTTACTTAAGGATGGGATGTAAGCGAGGTTTGTAACGTCATCCTCATAATAGGTCAATATGAGGTCCAGTAAGGATGATTCAGAGTTCGGGTCGCACCTAGTTGCTTCTTTCACATTTTGCAATATCTTGTTAATGCAGACACAGAGGTTAACGTTTTTGGGGAAGTTGGAGACTTGATCATCAATGCTATTCACTACCCAAAATAACATCGTAAAGACGAATACGTTACTGGTCGTAAGTTTAATTTTGGGAAACAGATGCCAAGTTTATCACTATGTTATTCACACATACTAAAACGTTTTGTGATCAAAAGAAGAAAATTCACATGATTGTTCGGACTGTACAATGCTCCACTTTCCCAGCCAGACGTAAAAGGAAAGAGGAAGGTGAGTGTTGAGTAGTATTGCCTTGCAATCGACAGAGATGCATGAACAGTTTTTCTTTACATCAACAGTTTCGAACATCTGTCAGAAAACAGTAGTCTTGATGTCAATTTACTGAACGATCTATTGCTATGTCATCTTGCAAAATATTTAACAAATACATTAATTTCATGCAATTAAAAACAACCCAATCGACTGTAATTAACAACTGGTACGTTGAACAGTTGATTATTCTTTATTTACAAAGATTACAAGGTGTATACAATTGTTGATCGATAGTGCAAACTAATGAAGGTCCCAGATAAATGTCTTACTTAAGGAACCTTAGAATTTGTGTACCAAACAGAAGCTCAAAGGCAACTAAATTAATTTACACTAGATGAGTGGATTTGACACAGGAAATAGAGAAGAAAAACCGAGACAACCACATTTCTGTGAAACCAAACAGAAGTTCAGCTTGTGGAACTCAAATTTATTTTGAACCTTCGCGAATAACATGGGTCAGTTAGTTACATAAAATATGCAGTAATGACAAGAAATAGGTAGTTCTCCAGACGTTGACCACCCACTCCACAAATTTTATATTATTCCAAGCTTTATTTATTAGCGATATGCTCGACAGTCGTTCCATACTTATTTAAAAGTTTATTATCCCACCACAGATGAGCTAATGGAAGTAGCAGTTTCTCATTAACGGGGAGTTTCGGAAAAAATATACAAGCAAGTTACTTTGCACATTGAAAGCAGAAGTCCTATTGCCTATGATCCCCACATGGATACCGTGTATATATGCCTAACCTGTATTTAGCTTTTCGTTTGCAAAATTTGTGGCAATTACATACCAAGGAACACTTTTTGTCAACGATTACCTAATAATAACTAACAGACAACTCAGTTATGAATTTCAAACATTAAGTTGCGATGTACGAAACTTTGAGGAAACTAATTATCTATCCGACGAACAAATAATACAACTGCAAAATAATTTATGGTGAGTTCTCTGACAACAGTGTCTGGTGAATATTGATGCAAATTAGACAATGAGAAACCTAAAGAAGCCGTTTATCTTTTGCTTGATAAGAATACGACTGTCTAAACAATCCGAAGAAATAACAATGATTATTGGACAATCATGATTATATAAAAACCAGAAGAGTAACTAATATTAGGCAAGTAGAAACGTGCAAATATAAGTAAGAAAGTACTGAACGAGATAAATTTATTACAGCCAAATAGTTAGTAGTGGATGTACGCTAAATATCAGTGAAGTTTATCAAATATGAATGACAAGACATAGTGATGATATAAATGAACAGAAGGAAACAGTCAGAATAACACAAAACAACTCTTACAGGCACAAAAAAATAAAAGATGTGCTCCAGAGAGGATACAAATTTCGCGAAACGTCATCACAAGGAAAATACTTTTCAAAACAAATAAATGGCTGTCTTTACACGATTTTAAGGTTGATAACCACCTATTGGGTCTGCAGAATAAACATCACCTAATCCTGCACGGTAATTACCCACTTGGTAATCAAAATTTGAGTGGGCGACAGGTGTATCCGGATCTACAGGTCCTGGTCCCGACGCATCGAGCATATCCGCGTCACTGGTAAAACCATGATATCCACGCGAACTTTCAGTTTCTCCGTAAGCAAAGTTAGAGCATTGTATTTCAGTTGATTTATAGAATTTGTATGTGAAAAATCCCAAAATAATCTGTATGCAAAATCAACATTTACGAAATCAATCTACTAAAATAACATTGAAACACAAACCATAAAAGTACAAACTTTTAGAAGTTAATTAATCTAAGAACGTAAAACAATGTGTGTGATTTGAGGTTGAATGATAATAAAATTGGTTAGAGCTTACTCAGTAACTAACTAACTAATGACTTAACGCAACCTGTGAAATAGTTAATGCAAAGTTATACCGTGATACCTTTTACAAAGGGATATCGGCTACAATATATAAGCCAAGAGAGGAGATCGGAAATAAAAGTAACGGAGTGAAAGTAGAATCAATGTGTTTGTGGAAAAAAAACGTAGATTCTACCGTTGAGAAAGGAAGGATAGATTTACAGAATAATAAGTATAATTTAAACAATATAGATTCGCATGTAACTTACGAAAACTATAAAGTCGTTGGGATCAATTTTTAAGCATAGGCACTAAAGTCTCGGGTTGGTGATCATGACTGGACTGATACCAGAAAGGTAAAATGTGATCACGACAGAACGCTTGGCCGTAATCGTTAAAATAATGTCAAACTTTGCTAACTTGATTGCTAATTGTCTTACATTATATCAATAAAAAAGTATGCCCGTAATCAAAACTTTGTAACGAAAGGAGATATAACGGTTTATAGGTATCAATGCCAAAGTTGGACTTGATCGTTTCAAATAAATTGAGCATTAGGCAGAAAACTAATAATAAATGTAGTTTTTGTTATATCCGAATGAGTAGGAAAATTGTATTTCTGACGTTTCGTGACTTAATGCAAACCACTTCCGAGTAAATAAATAACCAAACTAAATTAAAACAAGTGTAAATAGTACAAAGGAAACATGTTAATTTAATTCAAATATTTATTTACCCCGAAGAAGTCATGACACATCAAAAAAACAATTTTCCTATTCACTGGAATATAACAAAAATATATTTATTATGAAATGTGACAGTATTTATACATGAACTCGTGAATTTTCTTGGGGAAAAAGATCATGATATAATGACACTAAACTTTTAATTCCTACTTAAACAATAATGGGTAATTACGTTTAGGAATAACTTACATCGTTGAAGAAAAGTAATGGAGAGAGGTCAAATTTTTTATAGAATCCATCAAAGCTGGATGAGTAATACAGTACGAAGCAGAAAGTTAAATGACTAAAAAGAACCTTTGACTCAAACTATTTCATTACTTCAAGTGATCAATGGGTAGACTAGCTTGGAGACATTCTAAAAGCTATATATACTGATAGGAAGCGAGACAAGCCAATAATATTTCTTTTACGAAACGTGTCGTAAATGCAGTTTTCATAAAATAATAAATAAAAACTGAAACTGAGTATCACTTTCATATGTACGGAACAACTGAACTCAAAAGGTAGTTAGTGTTTGCAACAGGTTATCCAGATAAAGTCTCAAACAATTAAGTCACACATCAAATCGCACTATAAAGCCAATAGTTATTGAATTGTCAGTACACAAACAGATGATACTGAACATCTGCCGAACTGCCTCATTTGTTAAATCAGTTATTAAAGTTTCTATTGCCAAAAGAGTCAAATGAACATTACAATAAAGGCATTAGTTACTATATGGTTGCAGTGAATAGTACTCGAAGAAAAAATGTGACTCAGTTTTAATTATTAGCATATCGAATAATCCTCTCATCAATGAAATAAGTTGCTAATCGGTATTTTTATAACATGAAAAGTTTATAGTGGTATGGTAGATTTACAGATCCGTATCCAAAGTGAGAGAATACGTAACTCATACTTGGTAATTATTCATTTAAACCATGTTTGGTATCATAATTAAATATGCATAGCAAGACATCCTTTTGGATGTCAAGTTCTGTCAGTATGAGTGATAGAACAGAAAAATTGAGTCGGAACAAATGATGTAAATTTGTTCACCACTCATTACCAACAGTAAATTTTCCCAGCACGTCGATGTCCTATTTTTGGTTTAACATAACTTCCGAGAATTTTTTGACGCTAGAGCAAGTTGCTGCACTCATTGAGGTAAACTTTGTCATGTTGTTTTGTAGCATACTACTCATAAAAAGATTTGTGGAGTGCTTTTCAGTCAATGTTTTAAGTAAAAAAGTCCAAGGCAGCGACAGAGTTTTTAATGGTTTATATGATTTCATAGAGTTCTTCCCATTGATAATTTTGAATATCATTATTATCGTCAAACTGATGGCGTGGCTATAGGTAGTCCAGTGCGTCTAATCGTGGCATATATCTTTATGGGAAACCTAGGACAGACAACAATGAAACCAGTAATCAATGATAGAACGTTATACGTCAGGTATGCCAGTGATACATCTGCTGTCTGTAGTGATTATCAACATGCTTCTCATGTACTGAAACTTCTCAATAGAGCACACTCGAACTCCGGATTTACAATAGAATAAGAAAATTCCAACCTCTTTCATTTTCTAGACCTTGGTATATGCGTAATACGAATGGGCGATTGAAAAGACAACTTTATCAAAAAGATATTTGAAGAAAATTTTACTTAAACTTCAATAGCTTCTGTCCAATGTGACAAAAATTATTTGGTTACAAAGCTCCTCAACAGTAATAAAATATAGGATGGAGTAGGAAGCAACCATAATAGGATGTTTATACGATAACGGTTACCCTCAAAAGTTCATAACTACATATGAAATTAAAAGGAAGAAAATGGAAAACATCACTGTTAAGAAAAAGTCAGCCCTTCTAAGACTTGGTTTTAACGGTGACAAAATAGCTGGAAAGATTAGTTTCAGATAAAAAGCCATGACGAAAAGAACGTATAAAGAGGCCAATCCGTTTTCTCTGTACCAAAATGGACCGTTCATCGTGATGTTTCCGCCTTATAGTGTCTTAATTTGTGTTGAAATAGTTTATTTGAACCGTCGTAATGTAATTTCAGAATCACCACTTCTTAAGCTAGAAGTACCCCTGTTGTTATATGTGGGAAGAAGTTCTACATATAAAATGCATCCTACATTTACAATTCGGTGTTTTTTAGCATCTTAAAAATCAATAACATAACAAAATGATGAATCACTAGATTAGTTTTAATACTATAGAGATGGCTTTTTTGAAAAAATGCTAGATCTAAAGCGCAGAATCCATTATGAAAATGAATGTCTAATTTACTAGGAATATACTAAGCCCAATGCTAAGCAAACAATAACAAACAGAAGAGCAAAAGTGGAGGACAATGGCTTGAACATCTGGAGACTGGATAAGATGGAGAATTTACAATCAAATATAAAATAGACATTTATTATCAGTACTGTCATTATTAGCATGCCTGTTAGCACGATGACACGGCTTTGTAGCTGACTTTATTAGTAATCAGAATTTCAGGCAGATCAATTTAATACTTAACTCTGCATGCAGCTCTACTAGGGCAACTGACGATCTCGACCCGGGTAAAGGAGGGTTAGACATATGGTCAGCAACCTCATCCCGTAGAATACAACTTTGAAAGCCCAGATTCCTCGAGAGTTACGAGGCCGATTCTCCTTTTAACAACCAGAGAGCAAGAATTAATATAAGTACATGGAATGTCCGGACAATGTGCGAGGACCAATCAAATAGCTACGGAAATGAGGATGTAACTTGGCGGTGCTCAGGATAAGTGAAACCTAATGGACTCAGGCTGGACAGAAAAGATTAGCTTCGGAAGAGATGCTGTTATACTCTGGTTACGAAGAGAACGCTCCGCACATGCAGAAAGTTGCTCTGAAGCTGTCAAAAGAAGCACGAAAAGCATTTGTAGGATGGGGATCTCATACACCCAGAATTATCATCAAGATAGAGTCCTTCGAAACAAAGGAGAGGATCACAATAAATAATATACAGTGCTGTGCACCCACCAACGATAGCGATGAAAACAATTGATGCGGACAGAGAAACAAACAAGTCATGATAAACAACGAAAGCTATTTTTGGAGGACGTTATTTCATTTAATCCAAACCTTGCAAAACATCAACATTTAGTTTTGTCCCAAGTTTGTTCGATCAACCGTAACCTTTCGTTTGATGTACAATTCACTGCTATACCCTTTTCTGGTCCAGAGCTACTGTAATTTAAACGTCGTCTTTGGTACTCTACTTTTCTAACCTAATACCCAGTTTGGACATATTTGTGTTTTTCTAATTGCTTGTGCGCTGTGGTCATGTTAGTTATCTATTTATTCATGTATCTTTTTACACTAATCTGAATTGAGAATCATAATCTAGAATAAATCGAGTAGTGTTCCAGTTGACTCGTCGTCTCTTCCTCCCTCTTGTCGACCAATCAAGTTATAAAATAGTTTTCGTCTCTCTACCTAAATCAGTTAATCTGAATTTGAACTCACACATTTCAGCCTTAAGGTTGAACCAGTTAGCCTAGTGTTATGGTCTTAATCTAGGTCGAGACAAGTTCTCTCCTGTATATTATTGAATAGATAGATGAAGAACGTAACAACGATAAAAACCAGTTGTATGAGAGGCTGTAGTCGATCGTAGTGGAGTGTCCAGAAGACCTAAACGCCAAAGTCAGAATGGACAAAACCAAGTATGAAGATATCATGGGACGACATGGACTGGGAAAAGCAACGAGAATGGCGAGATCTGAAAACAAATGTACATCCAACAAAAGTTATAATTGACATTAATTCCGCCACAAACGCATAAATAAAGCTACATGGGTCTTATAGTACAGAGAACCAGATCAAGCATAATTGCATCACTAACTAATTCAGAAGGTACACAGAAGACGTGAGAATCAAGACAGGAGTTAATATAGCTACATGTCACCACCTGGTGTTTGTCAAGATAAGAGTGAAGCTAAAGAAGCACTGGACAACTGGATAAACAGAATTACAATGGTTTGATACAGCCTTCTTATTAGATACTGACAAACTCAACGAAGATCGACAGACTGGAAAGAAGGATATCTCATCAAGGTACCAAATAAAGGAGATCTAAGCAAATGCGAAAACCACAGAGGGAACTTAACACTGTCAGTATCAGGAAACGTTTTCAGCAGAGTGTTGCCGTACAGAATGAAAGATTCAGTAGACACACAGCATCAAGATCAACAGGCTGGATCACGTAGGGATTGATTGTGCACTGTTGAGATCGTGACCCCATGGATCATTCTTGAACAAACAATCGAATTGAACTTATCGTCACTATACAACTTCATTGACTATCAGAAAGAGTTTGACAGCGCCGATAGTAAACCGTTATGCAACCCTCTTCAACACTATGGTGTGCTTGACAAGATCGTCACCATCATACGAAATTCTTGCGACGGACGACACTACAATGTGGTGCATGAAGGATAACTCACAGATTCATTGTAAGTGAAGACCAGTGTCAGACAAGGCTGCTTACACTCACCTTTCCTCTTTCTTCCGATAGTTGACTGGATTGTGAAAACCTTCACGTCTCAAGGGAAGCACGGAGATCTCGGACGCAACTACACAATCAAGGCTTTGTGGATCACTTAAATGTTCTACCCTGTACACAGAAACAAATGCAGGTGAAGACAAACAGTGTAGCAGCAGCCTCTGGAGCAATAAGTCTCAACATCCACAAGGCAAGAGGATACTAAAATATAACACAGCGAGCACCAGCCAAAGCAAAATTGATGGAGATGCTCTGGAAGATGTGGAAACTTTTAACATACCTGGGAGCGTTATTGATAAACAAGGGGGATCTGATGCAGATATGAAAGCATGGATTGGAAAAGCGAGCGGAGCATTCCCACGACTGAAGAACACATGGAACTCGAAACAACTGGCAACCAATATCAAACCCAGAATCTTCAGCACGAACGTCAAGACAGTTCTACTGTAGGAAGCTGAAACTTGGACAAAACTGATACAACCATCATCAAAATGGTACAATTATTTATAAACAATTGTCTACGTAAGATACTGAATATCCGTTGACCGGATACCACCAACAACAGCCTATTGTGGGAGAGTACGAACCAACTTCCAGCTTAAGAAGAAATTAGGAAAAGATGTTGGAAGTGGATAGGACGTGCATTGAGGTAATCATCAAGTTAAATCATGAGGCAAGAGATAACTTGGAATCAATCAGTCAGCTACAAAGTAGGACCATGCCCATATATGCATCGGTTCAAGTTGCCACACCTCATTAGCACAAGATGAACACCTAATACATGGAAGCAGTTACTTCAATGGTGATTGCGATGCTATGATTCTGAGCCATGTTACCCAGAGTCTCCAACCATTGGTTACGATAGTCACGCAGACATCAACCAAGTAGTCTGTATCTACCAACATGACTCAACCTAGAAGTTAGTGACTCTATGGACTGATGCCATGTTTTGGTTTGACCGCCCTTAACCTTCCCCATCTGTCTCCAACCCTAGTCAGCATTTCGCGTCGTGGTAGTCGGTGGCTGGGCATGTGTACTACGTGGCCCAACCATCCCAGTCAATGAAGATTCACGACCTCATTAACTGATTTACAATCATTCACTAATATCCTGTATCTAACCTCACTATTACTTACCCAGTGATCCCAACAGATTCTGGCAATATTTCTAAGGCATCTGTGGTCAAATACTAGCAACTTAAGAGTATTTTCTACTCTTAATAGTCACGTTTCACAGCCACAAAGTAAAACAGAACAAACTGCTGCGTAGTATACTCGTCCCTTAACTGATAGATGGATATTTCGCCTCCCCCATAGGTGGCGTAAGTTGGCGAAAGCCAAAAGAGCTTTCTGAATCCGTACTGAGATTTCTTCAGACAGTAACATATTAGGGCTGATCAGACTTCCAAGATAAGTGAAGTTGTCGACGTGTCCGACCATTTCACTCCTTATCCTTAGTACAGGTGTTGACACAGACCAGTCGTGAAGCAACAATTTGCATTTAGAGAGAGAGAGAAACGCATCCCAAACATCCTGGCATTGTTGTTTAGTGTTGCCAAAAGACTGCACTTTTTCAGCGTCTTCACTAAACAGGACTATGTCATCTGCGTTTTCTCATTCAATATTTGGACCTTCTGAAAACTTGTTATTTGATGTATGGATGTTTAAAATAGGTGCTTTAGTAGTTTCTGAATTCAGTAAATTGGAAGGCAGTTCAGTTCAACAAATAATTACTTTGTTTTTTTCTATCACTTTTTCTATATCAGAGAGTTGCATCACAGTCTATGGTTAAATATGTATATTGTAAATTCTAGACAATCAATCATCAAATGTCCTTTGCTTCCATCGATAATGTATCTTAAATTGCGAGAAGAACTGCTAAAATGCCCAATAAAGCAAATCAGTAAATATGCGTTTCCTCTATATCTTTCAACTCAAAAGACATATTTCAATCTATTTAGTAGGGAGTCAATGAATGGCTATCACAGAATGCAAAGTTATTAAAGATGACTTAATTCCATAGGCGTATACGTTTAAGATATGTTTATTTCTATCACACTGCATAGTAAACTTTAAACACGACAGAATCAGACGACACCAGCCGCTTAGTTCCTTGAAACGATTACAGCCAGAAAACTAGAAAGGAGTGGACGATGGTTTTACTTAGAGGCTCACATTATTGTAGGCCACGTTAGGGAAACATGAAAGTTTAAAACCAACGGTCCAGAGGAAGTAATGCATTTCATGTTTTGTCGTGCTGTGTTCTGGTGGTGATTCTTGATCAACGGTCTTCAGTTAGTAGTGACCATTAAGGTCAGAAAGGTGAGACTCAATGTTGAATGTCTGCAAAAATGTTTACATTGAAAAAGGTTTCAAAAGTACTACATTACAATGTTGATACACCCGTCATAATATTGTAGCGTGGAGTCGAGTCGAAATTGACTATGAACACCGCTACAGAGAAACACGTGCCAAATAAATCCATAAAATCAACCGGAAGCCAAATATCAGAAGGCAGTTAATGGACCAAGTTGAGATATGTTTGCTGGCGATCTCGTGGTTTCGAAACGATATCGAGATCGTGCCAGGATACAAGCTTGGTTACAGAACGTAACCGAATTCGCGCGAAATCATAATCAAAGTGTAAGAATAATGAATGCTTTTTAGCACAGTTAAACAAAAGCACATTAAAACACTCAGTGGTACAAGTGGCTATAATAATAATTGTTTTCAATAAACCAATTGTGTTCTCGTGATAAAAGTGAGTCACTACAATATAATGCTGAATAGGGACACCAGAGCAACGTTTATATAAGTTTTTCGTTAAGATATTTAAGATCACTTCAACTTATCTGGTGCGTTAATACTGTATTCTACTTCATTTAACACATGCCATATCGATTTTCTCTCGGTACAATCGAATGACACGAGTCGTAAATTTATGATACCTGATCCGATAGCCAACAACAAAGATGATACTTTATTAAGAAGTACCTGAAAAGATTCAAAATAGCGTGTTCTGAAAGAAGAGTTTCGTTCCCAGAACACCAAACAATTACTGCATGTATGACACTGAATAACATTTTGTTTCATCTCAATTCTTCAAAACAAAACAAAACAATTTGTAATAAGCTACTATACATCTCTATTCCAAAGAAAAATCATTTTTTACTGTTTGCCAATATGCTCGCTCGTATGTGTGTATTTATTTTTTTGAAAAAATCTAAAAATACCACCCTGTAAAAATCGCTTTTACGCTATCGCATGTCTACGAAACGCATGTTTGTTAGTTTATTTTATTTTTTCGCCTCTTTTGTAGCTTCCCGCATTTACAAGTGTAATTCAACATACAATCACATATACTTTTTTTATTTTCCAGGACGGCTGGAAAATACGAAAAGATGAGGAAGTTTATAATCAATCGAAATTTTCATTGTATCCATTTCTTTATTACTATATTGTACCACATGACCTATTATAGTAAGAAAAGGCGACCAGACGCTGCTAAACATAGCAAGCTATCAGAAGAATGTTTACCAACGACAATCTTGTTGGGCTTAGACTTCTGGCTGGTCATGTTTTAGGGTCGTCAGTATCCCATTAAGGGGGTAGTGATCTGCAGCGGCAAATAAATCCCCAAAATTCAATGAAGACGCCACAAGTATTTGTAATTCGACAATACTCTAACCAGGAACACCTTCTATAATTTAGTCGTGCTCGTGCAGTGAAATAAAAAGTCAGAAGCGAGGAAGTTTGAAGATTTATTTGATAGGTTATCGATATGTCGAGAAGTGACTGATCTAAACTGACTAGCGATTGAAGAAGTTGAACACGGTATTTCCACTCACGATCTGGCGCTCAACGAAAACAAGAATAGGGATGTCGACAGGTCTACTATCGATGGAGCACGCATTAGCACTAATGGTAACATGGTGAAACTCAGAACCATCTTCCTTGATTGGTGAGCACGACGTGATCATAGAAATATATTAGTTAGAATGAGTACAGAGAAGATAGCAAGACAGCCATTTCATGCACCAGTCCATGGCATACGGTTGATCGATGAGCGCTGTTTGTCCTTGACCTAGATGAAGACCGATGATCTGTTAGATACTCAGTGACCAACTGCCGGATGATTTGGCTAGGGCTCATTGGCATTTCACCGGCCCTACATTCTGTTTACATGACAAACAGCTGAAATCGATTAATGATGCTAAAACGTCACGTGATCATGCTCTAATATACTACAACATCAGTCCAAAACACAAGCCTCTCGAAAAGATACACGTGTAGTCGGTTAAACTAAATGCTTCCAGTTTCGATTTCAAGATTGTCTTAATCTGAGGCTTGTGTTGTTGCTTATTATTGTCGATTGGTTTCAGTAGTAAATATAACTGAATCGTGTGTGAGTTCTGGGTTGTTGACTCACCCTCTATTTTGTTCTTCTCCTCAACAGTCAATGTCACTCTACTCTTTATGCCTCCCTGGAACCACCTAGCTCGACTCAAACCCCTACAACATGAAGCTGATTAATAACGCCCAATCATAAGAATGCCTATTAAACTTTTGAGACTCAATATTTTAATTAATATCTGGATTTACTAAGTACATATATCAATCAGCGAACTCATTTATTGAACATAATTTTGGTCGATGCTAAGGACGTTCGGATCAAAAGGCGCGTCATTCCGCACGGTGTAAGAACCTTGTGGAGACCACCTACCGATAGTTTCGTGACAGTCGGTGTTATGGAGGGTGTAGCAATTCAAACAGGATATAATAGAAATAATGTCACTTCTGCTTTGAAGCCTGATGAATATAGGAACTACGGCTTTCCTCTTGGACAAAGTTTTAAACTAGACGACATACCGTGGAAGTCAACGGAAAAGGAGTACGATTTCGGTGTCATTGGGTAAATAGTGTTTCTCTTTTATTGGCCAGACTGCATTCTGAGATAAAGGACTTCCTGAACTACATATCACCGAATCCAGCAGAACAGTTTGCTCGTGAGGTAGTCGTTGCCAAGGTTAAGGACATTGTTTATGGTCTGTGGCCAAATTGCCAAGTAATTGATAAGTTGATGATTGATATCGGTTATAGGTTGATGTCTTCGGAAGCTTTAAGACAGGCTTGTATCTTCCCACAAGGTTTGTCCGTATTTTTGTAACATACTTGGTTCAGTGACATTGATATGGTCATATTCGGGAAATGGGACGCCTTACCTCTACATACTTTAGAACAAGCTCTGTTCAAAAGTGGCATTTCATCTGAAATCAAGGTTTTAGACAAAGCCACAGTAAGTTGCTTACTGGTCATTCATATTCTAAATTTCAGGTACCGATTGTAAAAATGACAGATAAAGAGACAGAACTTCGAGTTGACATTAGCTTTAATATGATTAATAGTGTCAAAGCGGCGGAGCTTATCAGAATTTTCATGAAAAAATACCCGTGCCTCCCATACCTGGTGTTCGTGTTAAAGCAATTTTTGCTTCAACGAAGCTTAAATGAAGTGTGGACTGGAGGATTGAGCTCATACGCACTCATATTAATGTGTGTTAGTTATCTGCAAGTAAGTCAATATTCCCTAGTATTTAACCTAAAAACCCAACACCAATTTGCTTAAGTCACTTGCCACTAACAATGTTTTCACTTAAAAACCTAGGCTATCTTTGCAACGATTGGCACCCGAATTTATACTTCCGTAGAAGGCGTGATTTCTGTAGCATGCTTAAAAGCAGTCTGTTTCTACGTGTTACTTCGTCTGGTCTTTTTATGGTCATCCGAAATATGTAGTTTGTTGCGTAGTAAAAGGAAGAATTGCTGAGACATGTTCAGTGAGCTTTTAGTCTGTTACTTGGTATTTTGAAGTTTATTCTCCGCCTTTTATTTAGTTCGTAAAGTCTAAGCACAAATTACGTCTATAATTTTAACCTCACATGTTTCAAGGTTTTCGAAGTAGATCACAGTATTGCAGCCCTCACACAAATCGCATTTGATTTGTGTGACGCATATGTATCTGGTGCCCCCTTGTACCAATGTGTTCAAATAAACAACAGAAAAGTAGGTTGGTACACATAATTGTTCGGCGGTTCGGCAAAAACCCATTTTCTTTAAACATGTACTTAACCCCTATGAGGAAGCCTATTATATAAGCCGACGTGTTGTAATAATATAACTGACCTAATAAATTCGTTTTTTCTTACAGCACACACTACGCCCCGAAGTTTCTATTAATGATGTCAATTTGGGCATTCTATTGGTTGAGTTCTTCGAGCTTTATGGTCGTCATTTCAATTACAGAAATACAGCTATTCGCATCACAAATGGTGGGTGTTATGTTCGTAAGGAAGTTGTTCAACAAAATATGGAGAGAGGCTTACGTCCGTCGCTTCTTTGTATTGAGGATCCGCTTTGCCCTGGTAAGTATGATACTTTATTAACAATCTCTTAAATAAATGTTTCATCAGTGATGTCGTTGTCCTTTACTTGGTCTACCAGATATCAGGTCTAACACCGTTATCTAACAGCATTCTTTGTTTATTTGTTGTCTGTAAGGTTAGCAATAAATATGTAAATCAAACATATCCCAAAAAATGCTTAGTCGTACGTAGATTCCATGCACTAAAGATTTTGATCCACTCAGTTTAACAACACTTAGTAAAACTGCATAATGTACATCCAGTGCTCTCAAAGTATGTCCTCATGATGCAAAGAACGGGTGGAAGGATGTAGGCAGTTAATAAACGACTATGGGACACCAACTTGGTTGTTTTAACAATGTAGAGTCAAGTATTTTCTAAAGAATAAACTCAGATTTGCACAGTAAATGCATCTTAATTGACAGCTATGAAGTTAATAGTCAAGCGAGCAATTCATAAGTTATGCTGATACGTTAAAAAACGCAGAACTTTATGGGTTCATTTTGTATATTTTCAACGGTTTAAACTATTCATGTCAGTATCGAGCGGTCTTTTTTTAGGTCACATACAGAACTACCAGATTATAAATCATCGCTGTTCTGTAAATTTCTTCCTTACATGAAAATTCACAAGCTATTTTAATTAGCCTCTCCTTTACGTTCACAAATAAATAATAGCAGACTCGTACGGTATATCCAGCTCTGAGCGGCCAGACCAAAACATGGTACAAGTCAGACCGTTGTTGCTACCTTGACGTGGTGGTCCGGCTTTCCTATCGTGATGAAGCAACCGAGCTATACTGGATGGAACAACTGTTCCTCAAGGTCCTACCATGTCAAACAGATCGGTTGATGAGCGGTAAGACTAAAAGCAACAAACCCAGGGTCCGAAGGCGAAGTCGTACTGCTGAATGCACAGAGGTGTGACAGCAGTAAGGTGTTTCCTTCAGACAACCAGCATGACAGCGATGCTGCCTTCCCACAAGGAGGGGTGGAGTTAGAAAAGGTCGACCCTAAAAATGCACACCTCGTCTTATCCCACGGCTGTCCGTCTCCGGCGGTAAGGTCTCAACAAGTACGGAGCTAACACAAAAATTACCCATAAAAAGGTCGTGTGTGACCGACCTCAAGCAGTTGTCCCTTGGGCGCTGCGGTCACGCTCCCCGGTCACTAAGACCACCTCTAATCCGATTTCCTTTTCAGGTTCCTCCAGAACAACCCTTCCACGGTGTGGGAAACCAGGAAGTGATAACCGCCCTCATACCTCTAACAGCACTTAAGACCACTATTCATAATCAACCTCCGTCTTCACTTTCTATTATTCCTCGTACATCGACTTTCACCTCTAAACTTTTTTTTCGGCTTCCTCCTCAAATGTCACCATAGCCAACGATTCTAATGCTCAAAACACTGTCCCAGGTCTACTGAAACCTCGCTCCAAACTACACATTGGATCCTTCAACGTACGCACCCTATGTCAAATCGGTTAGCAGGCTTCCTTGGCTAGAACCCTAGAATTTCGTACGATTGGTGTATGCTGTGTCTCTGAAACACGTATGCAGGGTCGCAGTGTGGTCATTCACTTGACCTCACCTCGACAAAACGGAGAGCCGACGAGATACACCCTCCGTGTATCTGGTGATCCGACGGCCAGCTCTCGTGGACTGGCAGGAGTAGGGATAGCACTAAGCATGAGGGCGGAACAAGCACTGTTAGAGTGGATCCCCGTCAACAGTCGTTTATGTGCTGTTCGGCTAAACGGCTCCGTAAGAACTCGGAAGGATAGGGACACACGTCGTTGGCTTTTTGTCGTTTCTGCCTACGCTCCCACTGACTGCAGCTCGGATGAAGTGAAAGATGAATTTTACAGAAAGCTAAACGTTCAGACATAGTACTCGTAGCAGGTGACTTTAATGCCCAGATAGGTAGTCTAAACCAAACAGAAAGGCATTTAAATGGGTATTTTATTATTCCTGCACAACGAACAGATAATGGTGATCGTCTGCTGCAACTGTGCTCAGACAATCGTTTATTTTTAGCAAACATAAATTTTAAGCATAAGGAGAGACGTCGTCTAACATGGTGACCCCCTACACCAAACCAACGATAAACTCAAATAGACCATATTGCCATCAGTCATCGTTGGAGAGGGTCGGTAGAAGATTATCGCTCATTCTGGAGTACCTGCTTGGACTCCGACCATGCGCTAATATACGGGCACGCATCTGCTTGCGCCTCACTAGACGCAAAAAAGCCACACTAAAAAGACCCATTAGAACTGAATTGAGTAGCGTGAAAACCAAAAGTAGGTTCCAGGAACAATTGAGGTCACAATTAGGTTGTTTTGAGAACAAGGCTGACCCAGATGTTGTTTGGGAAGCTATACAAACAGCTGTGGAAACAGCAGTGACCTCTGTTAGTGATTTAAACCACAAGGTTACAAGGAACCAATGGATTTTTTCAATATCTATCACTGATGGATGTAAGTGAGATCATTTCGGAAAAGGACGATACTCTCATCTACTCCCAGTCCAGACGTTTAGAACAATGGGCGGAACACTAGTGAACAGTTCAGCTGGCCTTCAGCGACTCTACAACTACCGTCCATTCCCAGACAGTGTGAATGGAACATTGAAGTAGGTCCCCCAACTCTAGCAGAAGTTCAAAAGGCTATAGTTAATCTGAAACGAGGAAGGGCAGCTGATCCAGATGGATTGGCTCCAGAAGTTTTTAAGGATGGTGGTCCAATTTTAGCGATTGACTAATATTTTAGCTAAGATTTGGGAGTTAGACGTTATTCCATCTGACTGGTCACAATCGTCCCAATATATAAGAGAGAGTTAAGATCATCCTGTGACAACCATAGAGGGATTAGTTTAACTAATATAGTATCTAAAATACTAGCCTCGATAATTATCAAACGCCTAACTAAGACTCGTGAACTGCAAACACTGGAGAATCAAGCTGGCTTCAGACCTGGTCGTGGCTGCATCGACCACATATTCACCATCCGTCAGGTTCTAGAACATAGACATACTTACCGACGTCCGACAATGGTGGTCTTTCTTGACTTAAAAGCAGCATTTGACTCGGTAGACCGCGAGATTCTGTGGCAGTGTCTGTCATTGAAAGGTGTACCTCAGAAGTACATAAACCTTGTGAAGGCTCTTTACTCGAACACTACCAGTCGAGTGAGAGCTTATGGCGAACTGTCATCTGCTTTTGCAATCTCAAGTAGTATCCATCAAAACTGTCCACTATCTCCATTTTTGTTTAACTTCATCATAGACTTATTGATGGAAATAACATTCTCGTCTACTGAATTCTCGGGTATTGATCTCCTTCCAGGAGGTCCACTTATCGACTTAGATGATATAGTCCTGTTTGGTCAAGACGCTGATAAAATGCAGAGTCTTTTGGTAACACTGAGCAACAATGTCAGAATGTTTGAAATGCACTTCTCTCCCTCTAAATGGAAGTTGTTGCTTCAGGACTGGTCTGCGTCAATACCTGAACTAAGGATACGGAGTGAAGTAGTCGAACGCGTCGACAACTTCACTTATCTCGGTGTATACACTCTCTGTCTTCCCTTAAACTAAGAGATTAAAATCGCTTCATATCTTTCTATCTACGAGCTAATTCTTTCTTCCTATACTATATCCTTATTGCAATCTTTCTTTTATATATTACCACCTCTGAATTAACTACTTTTATGAATTCGGTGTCCATACTGTTGTGTTAATGATGTATGGCAACTTGGACCGATGCGTATATGTGCCTGGTCCTACGTTGTAGCTGACTGACTGACAAGTACATGAAGTCACTGACAACTGGACTGAGCCATGTTGGTAGGTGTAGACTATCTGCTTGGAATCCGCGAGACAATGGAAACCGATAGTTAGAGACCTTGAGTGACGTGGCTCAAAATCTTTTGCAATGGCGCGGTTGCACCCACTCTTTGCGTTCTCTTAAATTCTAATCTGAATTCTTCATGTCCTTTTATTTTCTTTCCAAATTTATTTCACTGAATTTTACAACTTGAGTAACATCTTCAAACCCTAATGTTTCCGATTACTGCTTATACTCTTACTACCTTTACTACCACTGGGATTTTAATCGATAATTGTATTTGTGTGATATGGTGTGGCAACTCGAACTGATTTACGTATGTACGAAGTTCCACATTGTTGCTGACTGACTGACTGTAATCCAGCTCTAGGTATTACCAATATTTCGTGGTAGTTGTCAGAAAAACTAGTTTTTCATATCAGCGAGGATGGGCTGTTAAACCTGATACATAAATTCTGTAAGTTTTTATGCATGGTAGTCCGAACAAATAAGAACCATATCTGATAACGTCTCTAGCCACTGTGTTCCATTATCACTCAGATCTCAGCCAAGGAGTCGTGAAGAATCAACAGAAGCCAGCCCTTTACAGCTTTCTTTCATACCACGACGCCATGTCATATACTGACCACCTCTCCGCTTTTTCCAACCAGTCCCAGAGTCGGCAAATAATGCACGACGTGGAATTCTCTGGGACGACATTCGTAGAACATATCCAAGTCACCGAAGTCGATGTTTCAAGATGGTGACACGAATTGAATTATCGTCTCTGTCCGAACACACGATGCCGAACCTCTGCGCTATTAAAATGATGTTGCCACCGGATGTCAGCAGTCCTTCGGAGACGATGATCAAACATAGAGAGTCGTCTAACATCCTCAACTCGGAGAGGCCGGGTTTCACAAGCATAGAGCAGAACTGCTCTCACCGATGCGTTGTAGATCCGACCTTTTACAGCCAGACTGACATCACGAAGGCGCCAAAGATGGCCCAGATTGGCATAAGCTTCTCTGGCTTTCGCTATATGTGCATTGATCTCACTACTCACGCCACCACCAGCACTTATGCAGCTACCCAAATACACAAACTTCTTGACTACTTCTATCTGCTCACTACCCAGGGTGAGTACAGGACCAGGGTCCTGCCAGTCTTGTAAAAGTACTTTTCACTTAGAAGGTGCAAAGCACATACCATACTTACGGACACTGATTGCCAACTGATTAAGTGTGGATTGCATGGCTTGAGCATTATCGCACAGTAGGACAATATCATCTGCATACTCAAGGTCGAGAAGTCTTTCTCCAGGCAACAGATCCACACCACCATTACTTACATCCATCAGAGCTGTTTCCAGAATGTTATTGATGTCAAAGTTGAAGAGGAATGGTGAGATTGGGCAACCCTGTGTAGCCCCACTACTCGAATGAAACAATGGAGAGAGGTGGTTGTATGCCCTCACTCTGCCTGAGGTGTTTGTATATAGGGCTTTTAGGATGTTAATAAACTTCTCAGGCACATCCTTCTTCAATAGACAATCGCAGAGAACAGTCCTATCTAACGAATCGAAGGCAGCCCTGATGTCAAGAAACACTACGATTGTTGGCCTGTTCTAGCATTTAGCGGAGTGTGAAGATATGATCAATACATCCTCTACCAGTACGAAACCCAGCCTGCTCCTCGCGAGTCAATCTTTCTCGGGTTTTGAACAACCTACAAAGTATGACGGAAGCCAATAGCTTGGACGCAATCGGAAGTAGACTTATCCCCCGATAGTTGTTACAGGAATGACGTGAACCCTTTTTAAAGATAGGGACAACTATCGACTCATTCCATAACGTTGGTACATTCTTTAGTTCCCAGACCTTTGTAAACAACACCATCAGTTCCTTAGCCAGAAAGTCACTACCATCTTTAAAGAGTCGAAGGTAAGTCATCTGGGCCAGGTGATTTGTAGCACTTCAAGAGTTGAAGTTTCTTGCGATCTTCCGTCTCATTTGGTGGATCAGTCGTCACCGGCCATGGAGGGCAGAACAGTCTGACCGATGTTGCAGGAGCAGCAGGCCAGTTGAACTGCCCTTCTAAGAATTCTGCCCATCGTCCAAGACGTCGATGGATGTTAGTGGTTGGTATCCCGTCATCCTCATAGATTGTTTCACCCAGTTTATTTGAAATTGTCAAGTCATACCTTGGTAATGACATTTATATATGCCTATGATTTCAAAGATGTATTTGACATAATCTTTTGTATTTTTTTACTGAATTTACGCATCACTCAAAATATTGACTTAAACTAAATTCTGCCCCAAAATATATCGGTTTCATGCAAAATAAATCAGTAACACTTAAAAATAACTTGATGACCGAGCAAAGGAAAAGTATGTACAATAACTACTTCATCATTATTAATAAGCAAGTGGTCCTTCAATTCATAGGGAAGTCGAAAAAGCTGTGTATGATCTATTCAGGGGAGATCAGCCCCCAAATGCCCTGGTACGGCCGAGAGTGGGGAGAGTCCGCTCTCCCTCGAAATGCTCTCACATGGCCACGTGTATATAGCCTCTACCAGGGAAGTTCTCATTGCCTTCCCGTGGCGGGGGTGTTGTTTACGAAATTGAGAGGACGAAAAGCGAATGTCCGGCACTTTAACCGGATCGATGGACATGGAGAGTCCACGTAGGGAAGCTGGGAAATCCTGATTCTAAACCAATGGTGCACATGGGCTTCAGTATCCTGCGGGAACAAATGGCGTATGAACCAATCGTTGATCACTGGCTACCATGGGACTGCATCTCCTTACGTTGCTCCACTGCCTTGAAGATCAGACCTTCAGGTCGAATGCTCGGGGTGTGGAGCCCCCTAAGAAAATAACTTGCTTCGGTTTGGGCACCCGGGCAGTATCACAGCCCTCACACATATCAAATGAGATTTGTGTGACGCATATCTGTTTGGTGCCTTCTTGTACCAATATCTATGTGTTAAAATAAATAAACAAATAAAGCAACATGGTGTGGTGGGTTACTAACTTATATCTGTTTCCCCTAGTGGAGGAACATAGTCCGCCCACCAACATTCTCCATCAAACTGATGGATTAACCCTTGATAATTTTAAGGATAGTGTCTAGTTTTAACAGTTAAACTAACTGAAATCTGGAAACTGGATTCGGTTTCACATGAGTGGTCGCGATTGTTGATCGTCCCAATTCATCAGAAAGAGCAAACATCCTCATGTGATAATCACGGAGGAATCAGTTTAGCTTATAGTGTCTAAAACGATACCTTGACGTCTAGCTAGAGCTCGTGAGGAGCGAACCCGAGTAAATTGGTCTGGTTTCAAACCTGGAATTTAATGTATACACCAAGTATTCACCACCCGGCAGATTCTGAAACAGACATACTTTTCGACGTCCAACTGTAGGTGTGTATCCCTTGACCGTAAGACAGCACTCGACTCCGTTAATCGCAAGGAGATTCACCATATTGTTTCCATTTTTTATATATTTTTTCTTTTTATTTGAACTTTTTTGACAGGTAACGATGTTGGTCGTCGATCCTATTGTGCACTCCAAATTAAACAGGCTTTTGAATATGCCTACGTTGTTCTTAGTAGTGCCGTACTTCCTCAGTATCATTTTTTGCACTGCAACACTGATGTTTCAATACTTGGACGAATCATTCGTATTTCCAAAGTAAATGGATGTTTTTAGTAGTTTCTATGCCCCTATTTTGATAACCTGTTAATAATCAATTGTCTCTAGAAAGGATTATAATTGTAGCGAAAAACCACTTGAGTTCTCTCTGATTTTTTGAGACACCTCACTAATATGTGATGAATTTTAGGGGTCCTTAACTGATGAATGAAGTGGAAGCGATTCAAAACAGCTAGTCTACCTACGGAATAAGAATAAGCTTCTAAATAAAGTCCAGCAATTTTAGCCAGACTCTAAATCAGTGCGGAAACTGAAATTATCCATTGTACCTTTTGATACTACTTAGATCTGGTTAAACATATCGATGGATTTTCTGTGAAGACTTTTTTTGTATCTCTTCAGGCGCAGATTCATGTACTTGGTTTTGAACTACACTCAAACCGTAAGCCGTAGTGATGATACCTGGTTGCTCATACCGAAGTAAAACGGTGTTCACAACTGTAGACACTACATTCATTCCAAAGCTCAGTAAGTAGGACCCATGCTAAATCGACTGTACTTCAACTGCCGATTTTAGTTAGATATTGTATCATATTAGGAATTGCTGGTCACATAGCTGAGGTCTGCCCATTCTACTAAGTGATGTCAGTATTTACAAATTGGGTGCTCCCTTAGCTTTATTAATTTTATGCTGCATCATCGAGAGTGAACATCTTATGATCTACGTTCACCATGTTATAATGCTAAAAGTCCATACTTGTGCTCCACTGAACTGGTTTGTTATTGAAACTAGTGGCTTTCTGTTTTTTAGATAATTTTCGTACAGGTATTCATTTCGTCTTCTCGAGTAGTTATGTTAATGTAATTTTTACAAATGGAGCGACTATGATAATCAAATAATTAAGTTTTGTAGTGTGTTGTGGGACGTTGGTTAGTTAAAGATTTTGGGATTTTACCTTTACAATACATCCCTCAACTCTTGTTAGCTACGAAAAATCTTAGAAGCTATCGCTGAATTGAAGTATTTGACTTAATTACTTCATTGTGTATTCAATATTTCCCAACCCAACTTCCTTATCGTTGTAAATTATGACTTCGCAATAACCAATTGCGCTAGCTTCGTTGTTTGGATTGTGTGTGTCGGTTTGGTTTTCTGTATTTACGAGATAAATTGTCTTTAATTTTATGTAAAACAAGCTTCATTCCTAACCTATTTTATGGTTTTTGCATACATGTTTTTCCAAGTATTATTTCCAATGTTGTCACCGGTGTTAATCGTTTTGGAATGATTTTTCAAAACCTGTAGAAGTCTGTTGAATTCCGTCAAAGGATCCAATGTTATGCTCATCACCTACGCGCTTCACTCCCAGTAAATAGAAAAATGTTGCAGGGAAGTGTAAGTAGCAGATCACAAAATTTCATCGTTTCATCGAGTCCCTGGGTCGCACAGTCCAACCTGAACACAGTCAATAGAATAGATTGTACACTGCCACCATCTGTAGAACAAAGAACTAATTTCTCTGTGCATTCCAATTTAGCTGTTGCTCCCAGAAATGAACAACTTGATCTGCCGATTCTTGTTTGGCAATCGAATCCCAGTGTTAATGCATCCCAAGGACTAAAGCTTTCCGGTGCACAAGATGAATGTGTTGCCGATGACAATACTCCTCAATCACAAATTAATTTCTCAGTAGAAAAACCCGTTAGTATTTCTAGTTCTGACAGCTATAACGAGCATATTGAAATAATTAACTCGGAAACTTCAAGTGATGAAGGAGACCTTCATTGCAATACTAATGGCGAATTTGACGTCGAAAAACCTGGAGAATACAGCGTATTAGCGGATGAACTGTGAGTTAAACACTTAAAATTCTGTGTTGTTTTAGTGAAATGTCTAGTTAATTGTCATACAAAATACAATCGTTCATTACTATTTCAGGTGGCCTGTACTATTTTCATATTCAGTTTTAATTTTTACAATTTCTCTAGTCTTAATCCGTCGATTTTTTCAGTAAATATAATATGTCCGTTTCTTAGGTAAGTAGTACTATGTAAATGTAGTTATAAATAATTATTAGAATACCTCAACTAGTACTTTGGTATCTCACTAATGAGTTGGTCAGGCTTCAAATCAATAAAGTAACCAACTGTACTAAATTTCTGCTAGGAGGAACACAAATATATTTGTCAAACTAATGTTTGAAACTTCAGGAAATTCATTTAAGGTGCTTTTCTTACTTCATTATTTATGAGATGTCACTAGAGTTACGACCGACTCGTTTTACAGTTAGGTTACTATTTTATGACAAATATTTGGAAAACGATTCATTTTTGACAATATTAAGGATTTAATTTTGCCTATACATTCATTGTGTGCCTCCCATACCTTTGTAATAATGCTGCAATTAATCCCTAGGATTTTTCACCATATTTTTTAGTGCTTCCCTAACAACATTTAACCAAATAGAGAAGAAAAACATTTTAGCCCCAATAGTTAACGCTGATTCGCTAAAGTCTTCAGAGGTTACTTTCAGAAAACCCCACCAAGGTCGTAAAAGACGCTGCTTACGGGTATTAACATCCTCCAAATCCAACGCGGGTAACTCTTCAAATCAGCAGTCAGGAAATCTCCGTGATGATTGTATCGTGTCTATGTATCCAAACGTACGAGATGTCGCTTTTTCGGCCCAAAGAACAAGTTCCCAAAACCATGTTCACGGGAAAAGTAACAGTTTTTGTAAATCATATGAAAAACCACATCAAAGTGCCTTGCTTTGTTTCCCTACCTCTGTTGGATCCCAAGTTTCGCATTCAACTAATTCGGGTTCTAATAGTTTTTCCCGCTTATCTCAAGCACAAAAACGCCACGCAACAGCTTCTAGACGCTCAAAGTAGACTGCGATACACTTTTGTACATAGATTCATATTTATATATACTTACCTGTTAAATTTTCAGTTTATTTCCTACCTAATTTTCGTGTACATATCCCAATAATTTACCTATCTCTTTTCAGTTTTTTGAAAACATAAAAAAGTCACCCGAGTTTTGTCTTAAGCTATTATTTATCGTTTTTATTATTTTGGTCGTATTTCTTCAAATCATATAAACAGAAAATATATACTAAAACTAACTGTTGCTTCCAAACTAGGTTATCTACGGTAAAGTGAAGTGAGATATGTACCCAGTTATGTAAATAATAAGCATTTTGCAAAACTGGTAAATCCTCTTACTGCTTGTTCTATATTTTGCCAGTATTTTTTCTCCTTTTTCCCTGCGAAATGCCTTTATACCATGTGTATCTTCATCTGTAACCTTTTGACAAAAACAAATGACAACACTGTGATTCTTCCGAATAACTTGATTTGATCGCTTTGCATATGTTCAGAGTTTTCATGTATATGTATTTGCAGACACACCTCTAGATTTACTTGTATTTTGTTTTATTCAGTGTTAGAAATGAATAAAATTTGGGAGATCTATCATTTTTTCAATAAGCTTACTATTTATTGACTTCATTATATTGCAAAGTAGCCGGTCGGGTTTCATTTATGTAATATTCAGATTTATCACAGAAAATTTGCGTTACAAATTCAAAAATCACTTGCTTTCTAGTTGCATTCATGGATTTCACTATTCAACGATGGCATCTTGTACATCACGTAAGTTGTGTCTAGACGAATGCACCAACAATTTTGTCAGCAGTATTGTCACAGACTGCATTTGCTGAGGATGTTTCAATGTCAACCCAATATTTGATCCAACTATTTAACCACGAGCTTGTTATCCTAAAATGCGACCACATTGATTCCAAGGTTCCACTATACCATGTCGTGTTGGTTCATATGTACCTAATCTATTATTGATAAGAAACGAGACACATAGGTGTGGAGAGCAATATATTTGTTCGATGAATGTAGTAGGGTGTAATCGATAAGCGTAAACGAGTTGCGCGAATGCATGGTGTTTTTATCAAAGTGATTCCAACGTTTAACTATATACTCAATCGGTTTAGTTCTTTTGAATTAGGTTTTCTTGACCTATTTCGTTCTATAACTTCTCGGCATATTATTGAGCAGCTTAGTAGTAGTTTAGTATGTGTATTTCGAGACACATGTAGCTTTGATTCGTGCTTTAATACCTTGTGCTGGAGGATGTCTCAGTAAAGGTATCTACGTCAAACAATGGTAGATGGTCTCTCAATTTCGTGGATTGGTTGAAGTTAGACATTAACACCGTTGGATGCCGGCTCAGTGGTCTATAGTTTAAGTGTTTCCGCGCGAGAACAAAGTTCCTAGGTTGGGATCCCGCGTGTGGGGTCGTAAAGCTCACTTCTGAGGAGCCCCATAATGAGACGAGACCGTCCAGCGTTTCCAGTTTTTCAGTGGTGGTCTGACATCGACCGATACATGATCTCAATTAAAATGTTTGATTTTCTGCGACATTTAGTGTATTGTGGATAAATTTTTTTTACACCAAAATTAATTTATAACGACTTAAACAAAAGTACCCGTGTTTTTATTTACAGTCTCGAAGGATTCAATACTTGACATATGATTCGCATCTCAGTATCATGTCCAGTTACGTTATTACTCAGATATTGGTTATGCGGCTGATATAATCGATAGCGTGCAATCAGCATTAAGGGATAGACAGTTTAGCATTAGTTACTACCTAGTGTAATATTAAACTGCCAACAAAGTTTTAAGATAAAGACTTGGAGAATCGGGAACTAGCTTTCAATTCTCTTTTGTGACTTCCATAGTTTTTCAAATGCTTTTAACTTCTGTGTAGTTTGATGCTCAATCAAGAAATTGATTATCTTGGTGGGAGGTAGTGTCGATTACCTGAGGTATTGTTGCACTGCCGAACGGCTCAGCAACGATGTACATTAATTTCTTGTTTTTCAGTTGCCTTGTACAAAAACTTCTCCAATAATGTCTTAAGGGAGAGAGTAATATAATACGTTTTCTGCTCAATAATATTTGAATATAAACTTTCACCTTCAAACTGATGTCCCTTTATATATATAGACAAGTCTCGTTCTGTTATCAACATATCAAACAGAATTCGTTTAAACAGTAAACTAACTTAAGATAGAACTGAGGTTTTGATCCTTAGAGCATCGTCGTTGTAGTTATGACTATTAGATATCTGCACTCCACTATATATGGCACTAGGTAACCTAAGCATATTGCTATCCTTTCTCACTACCTAACACTCATTTTCTGAATGAATGTGCAAAATATTAACCTAAACTATGTATTTAGAAAAGGATTTTAAGCAAATCTGAGTTGAAAACTTAGGGGTGTACTAAAAATAGCCAAAAATCTCACGAGTAATCGAGAACTTGAAATTTCCTCTAGTTTACATATACACTTTTAATGGACCCAGACAACTATGAAACCTAAATTCATAGGTAGCGATTCTCTCCAATAGCTAAATTATCTCCATATCACCTGATGATCTCTAAAAATTCAGGACAGGACAGGACTAAAATGATGTTTGCAATTAAATCGACTAACTTGTTTAAATCAATTACTGGTTTGCTTGGTTTTCTTTTTCCACCTGCAGCAAATCACAATGAGACGTGAAATATTTGCAAAGCAGACAGTTTCATGCCCCTACATCAATATCGAACCAGCCCCTTATCCCCGTCACTATTTGACACGATACACCATGAAATTTCCACTTCACTAATCCAAACAAAAGACGAAGCAAATAATCACAAACGCCACGGTTTTTATCACTTACATACTACCACATAGTAGATAAAAAACCGAAGAATACAACAATTTATAAAGATCAGTAGATAAATACTCAAGTAATTCATTCTCGATGTAGACTGAAGTACACATTTGTAGTTAGTTAAGGACCGTCATCCTTAACAAGTAACACATATGACATCAAACAATCAGAAAAGAAAGCTTACGATCTGAACTCTATCCGGGCATCATAAATTAACCATTTAATAAATACTTGCAAATATAAGTAATTAATTAAAGAGTAACAACTCAAAGAGTTTGTTATTTCTTATCAACACTGACTTTTAATTTCTGCATCTGATTAACGAAATATTCAAATCACTCCATCCATAGATTTATAGAAATGCATCATTACTAAAAGTGACTACAAGTTCAAGGTACGACTACTTATATACTTAAGCCTGTTACCGGTCGTGAAGGAGCATAGGCCACTCACCAGCATTCTCCATCGACCTCTGTCTTGGGCAATCCTTTTCATATCTGCTTCCAACCCTAGTGGGAAAGCAGCAGGACCTGACAACATACCAACTGTAAATATCGTACACGTTCTATTTAGAAAGATTTGAAAGTAAAAACAATTGCCGACAGAGCGAAAAGAAAGATACCGCACCACATTACAAAGTAAAGGAGATCCGAGCAAGTGTGGGAACTTCAGAGGCATCACACTATCATCAGTGCCAGGAAACGTTTTCAGTGGTGCTGCTGAACCAAATGAAAAACTCAGTGAATCCCCACCTTCCAGATTAACAGGCTGGATTCGTAAGGATCGACCGTGTACCGAAGAAATCACGACACTACGGATCATTTTTGGACAATCAATTGGATAGAAATCATCACTATACATCAACTTTCTTGACTACGAGAAAGCATTTGACAGCGTGGATAAGAGAACCTTCTTCGACACTATACTGTACCTGAGAAGATCGTCAACAGCATACGGAATTCATACGACGGCTACACTTCAAAGTGGTGCATGGAGGACAGTTGACAGGTACATTCCAAGTGAAGACCGGAGTTGGAAAAAGCTGCTTACTCTCTTCGTTTGTCTTTCTTCTGGTGGTTGAGTAGATTATGAAGACCTTTATATCTGGGGGGAAGTGCAGAATAAAACGGATAGGTTGGATGTAACTTGACAATTGGGACTTTGCAAACGACCTAGCTCTCCTATCCCATACACACGAACATTTGCAGGTGAACACAGATAATTTAGCACCAGCCTTTTCATCAGTAGGTCTTAACATACACACTTACCTACTTACGCTTGTTACTCCCAATAGAGCATAGGCCGCCGACCAGCATTCTCCATACCACTCTGTCCTGGGCCTTCTTTTCTAGTTCCATCCAATTCTTGTTCATTCTTTTCATGTCTATCTCCATTTCCCAGCGTAAAATGTCCTCTTGTCTTCCTCTTCTCCTTTTGCCTTGAGGATTCCACGTGAGTGCTTGATTTGTGACGTGGTTGGGTGCTTTCCTCAATATGTGTCCTATCGAATTCCAGCGCTTCTTCCTCCACTGGGATCTGGTTTGTTCTGTCCCTTAGGTAGGTCGTTGCTAATCGTGTCCGGCCAACGAATCCGAAGTATTTTGCAGTAGACAACTGTTAATAAACACTTGTATTTTCTGGATGATGGCTTTCGTAGTTCTCCAAGTTTCCGACCCATACAGTAGAACTGTCTTGACATTTGTATTGAAAATTCTTAACTTGGTGTTGGTTGACCGTTGTTTTGAGTTCCAGATGTTCTTCAGTTGCAAATATACTGTTCTTGCTTTTCCGATCCGTGCTTTCACATGTGCATCAGATCCACCGTGTTCATCAATGATGTTGCCCAGTATGCAAAGCTTTTTACACCTCCCAAAGCTTCTCCGTCAAGTGTGATTGGATTGGTACATACCGTGTTGTATGGGAGAATCTTGCTTCTCCCTCTGTATATATTGAGACCTACTGCTGCTGAGGCTGCTGCTACACTGGTCGTCTTCTCCTGCATTTGCTGTTGCGTTTGCGATAGAAGAGCCAGATAATCCACGAAGTCTAGATCGTCCAACTGCATCCTAGATGTCCACTGTATCCTGTGCTTCCCTTCAGATGTTGACATCATGATCTAGTCGATCACTAGGAGAAAGAGAAAGGGTGAGATTAAGCAACCTTGCCTGATATCGGTCTTTACATGAACGAGTTTGCGAGCTGTTCTCCATGCACGACTTTGCAGTTTAACGTTAATTATCTCAGGCACGCCGTAATGTCGAATAAGCCTCCATAGTGTTGTCTTGTCCACGCTATCAATTGCTTTTTCGTAGTCAATGAAGTTGATGTAGAGTGATGAATACATACACAAGTCTCAATTACTTTCTTTTTTTTTAGCATGTCACCTAAGACATCAACAAAAGGGCAACTTGTCAGCGTATTCTCTTCAAACTCACATGTATTATTATTTAGCGTAAATAAACAAAATTAATCTTAATAAAGGTTACCAGTTACATCTTATTTTTAAATGGCCGTCGTTAGTATTTCACTTCTTAACGCCCACTACATTGAACTAGCTTGACTTCGCTTTGTCCATTGTCTATCTCTTGGACAAGTGAATAATGAATCAATAATACAATCATTTCTACCCAAGAAATTATACTGTGGTTATCACTGAAGACTAAATAAGAGAACATTAGGAAGAAACTAATGATTATTACATTTAGTCTATTTTTATGGTAATAGTAACTTCCCTAGCCACAACA